GTTACAGTTTATTTGTAACTAGTTACAGTTATAGTTACATTACCAAAAACATAACTAGTTACCGATACAAGTTACAAGTTACAGATGCCAAAGTGCAACTAGTTACAGTTACAAAGTTACAATATATTTTTTGTAACTTAGTTACAAAGTTACAAGTTACATTTATTGATTGCAATTAAGAACGCATACAATTCGAATGGGACGAATGGTAATGAAACTTGCGGCAAAATTATTGGTAAAATTAATAACTATTTACTAGATGTATCTGCATGCATCTGTAAAATTCCACCAAATCGATTTTTTACTATTATTGTCAGTTAAAAAAACTCTGCTATTATACAGTCTGAACGAATAGATTGAAAAAAAATATATCTCACTGGCTAGTGGCTTCTGACTTCGCAATGAAAAAGCAGAAACGTGAATACGTGATCATGACTGGGCCAAGGCCAAGTGAAATGAGGCCAAAGACCAATTATGATGAGGCCAAGGCCGAAGTGAAGGCGAGCGACGGCATTTAGATCAGTTCCAACTGTACGTATAAATTTGCTGTCAATCCTTGACTTAAATTTGTGTCTTGAATTACGGATTCTGTTGTGTCAGATTAAATTACTCCTATGCAGATGATTAAGGCCTTCGATCGTATCGGACATAATGTGCTTATTAGTAAGCTTATCGATATCGGAGTAAGGCGCTCTCTGATCCCATGGATTATAAGTTTTCTATCTAACCGTAGACAGTGTGTTAGACTTGGTGGCGCTACCTTGGATTGGTTGGCGGTTACAGCTGGTGTACCACAAGGTACAAAATTGTACAAAACGATCTAAAGATCCCATTCCCAGGGAATACTAGTACTTGGAAATTCATGGATGATGTATCCATCTCAGAGTCCCTGTCAAGAAACAGTGAATCCCGCATGCAGAATCACCTTGATGAGGTCAACACATGGGCTGACAACAACCTAATGAAGCTAAATCCAAAGAAATGCAAAGAGATGCACGTCTGTTTCCTCAAAGAGCGACCCATTTTAGAACGTCTCAGTTTGAGTGGACACCCCCTGGAAATCGTTTCCCATCATATAAGGTTCTTGGCTTGGTTATACAGGATAATCTTAAGTGGAATGGACATATTGCCATGATTGTTAAAAAGGCCTCCAAGCGTTTTTATATTCTTAGAGTTCTTAAACGGGGTGGAATCCCACCTCATGAACTGATCCTTATTTACTATGCTCTCTCTCCGTGCTAGTGTACTGCTGTATTGTATGGCATAACAATCTACCAGCTTATCTGGCGGACTCAATTGAACGAGTTCAGAAAAGAGCACTGAATATAATCCTCCCTGGCAGGTCTTACCGTGAAGCTTTGAGTCAGATCCAGTGTTCTCGCCTAGATGAGAGACGCGATGCTTTGTGTGAAAGAACGATTAAAAAGATAACTGATGGCAACCGCCTGTTTTATCTCTTACCTCAGACTAGAGAAAACGTGAACTACGATTTACGTATCCTAACAGTTGGTCATTGTTCAAATGTAGAACTGATCGTTTTCAGAAAAGCTTTTTCCCAAGTATGATTCGAGTTTTAAATATGTCATCATGACACTAGTTTTTGAATATCTAAACTATTACAATATATACTTTCCTCACACCTTAATTTTTAAATTGTAAATATAGTATTAAACTTATTGTATCTTTAGTAACTTAGTTATATAATTATTGTAAGCACATTGTAATTCAATTTTTTGTGATAGTGTGCCATTAAAAAACGCATATATGTGAACATCCAACAAATCTGCATGGAAAATCATGCACTATCCTTTTCTTGGATAGAAATACCTTCTGCAAGTGCCTTTTCTATAGAATCGTTTGTGAAAACCAGCTTGTCAATAATCTGTGCTGATGCTTTGTGTAAGTACTGCTGTTTTGCAAGTTTACTCTGATTCGATGCAAGTTTACTCTGATTCGATAGGTTTTCGGGTATAGGGAAGTTGCCTGGTTGACCAGATTTATTCTCAAATCCAAGTACTGTCATTGCAGCTGCTATTACTCTTGACTTTATCACAAGAAGAAGGAAATCTCGATCTTCCCTGTATGCTGTTGTTGGGTCAGCTTTGACATTTTTATCAGTGTACGATCAGAGAAGAGTGTGCAATCATCATTATCTGACTTCCCAGAGAAAAATCTATTGAATATCATCTATTGAAGAGAACCGTTGTCAATGATGGACAAACAATAACAGATGTTTTAACTATTGAAAATAAAGTGCTTCTGTTGATTCAAGTAGCAGGTGTTTCTTCTGAAAGAATATATTAATTAGCACGATGGAGAGTGTTGGGGGGAACAAGAGGTTTGTAAGTTCCCCGAGAAATTGTTGAATATAGGGAGAGAGAAAGTTGCATTCTAATGAGTTAACCAAACAATCTGCCAGTATGTCTTGTTAACACATTAAGCAGCAATGCACCCTACTTTAATCTTTTACTCTGTCTAATGCCAGACGATTTTACTCCTCACGGAAAGTCTTGCACTTTAATTGATTTAAATGTAATTTAACAGATTATAAAATACATGAAAAGCTTTCAACTTACACTCGGTATTTTCAGGCCAGTGTGCAAGTCGCCTAACTGTAATGTTAAGCCTTCAAGTCGACTTTCAGGTGTATACACATTGGAAACAGATGCTATGACATTTACAGCCCTTACAACTGTTAACTGATCACCTGCAAGAAGTTGTCCATCGTATGAATAATAATAATAATTATAGCTTTATTCATCCATCTTAAGATAAAAAAGTACAATGGACTTACAATTACTTGTTTAAGAAAGTATATATGCTGTGGATATGTCTTTATATTACAAATTGTTGTAAGATAATTTAGAAAACTAACTAAGAAGTTAAA